CTCGTGGGTCGGATTGGTCCGACCCGCCGGCGCGCGGGTCGGATTGATCCGATCCTCCGCCTCGTGAGTCAGTTTAAGATACCTTCGGTATTTTAGTCTTAACTCTCTTGTACGACCTTGGATTGAGCTGGTTCAAGATGCGTTGGAAATCTGGCGAAGATACCTATAACATTTATCTTTTGAGTTTCTTTAAATTCAAATTGTAACATGGTATAAATGCATCTTATTTTTGCGGGACACTTTGAGGTGTTCGACACTTTCTGACTTCTCCGGACTTGTAATGCGTATTTCGTCATTCCCTTGACTTGCATGCTTTGTTGACTCGCTTCATGTGCTCGTTAGGTTCTTTATGGTACTTGGAGCTGACCAACGCGTGTGATTTGACTGACGAGTGCGTTTGGTCACTTGGAGCTAACCGACACGCGCGAGTTGACCGACAGGCAAGACGGCCAATTGGAGGTGGCCGGTGAGCACACGAGACACGGTTGGTTCGCCATCCTGGTTCATGTACTTATCGGCATCAGATAATCCTCCTAGACTCGGATAACGACGTTCGTCATCTTCTCTCCGTCTCGAGCTGTGCGCGGACACCTATAGGCATTTTCAGACGCCTACACCAAGCAATCAAGACAAATAGAAAACAACAAGATTTAGTGTGGTTCCACGCGATCGAGATGATCTGTGTACGTCCACGAGGAGATGGGGGAAGATCTTATTTCTTTTGAGAAGAGATTACACACCCCTAACAATGGTGGAATATAAATCTCTCTTTTTTCTTATTGTTAAACCCATGGATTGATACAATATATATAGAGATTGATTTTGATTAATCCTATTAGAACTCTAGCTTGAATCTTAATTGGATTTTCTAATATAATTATTTCATTCAATCCAATCCTAATTAGTATAGTATAACTAATCCTAATTAGAGCCCAAACTCAATCATGTTTCTCAACTGATTTGAGTCATCACGAACTCAACAATTGGAACTCTCAAACGTCCAGATCACCTGCAGCAGTGGGTCAATGTAGTAATTAGTATAGGCATTGTGTTTGTCAAAAACTCATGGCATGCTCATAGTATATATTTGAACCTTTTTAATAACAATTTATTATCATACTAATAAAATTTAGAGTCTTAGACTCTTAAAATTCCATAACTGATTTGATTCAACGCATAAGCTATAGACCAAAGTAACCAACCAACAATCCCTTTCATTTTTCCTTTAAATAATTAACCTCTTTCATATTTACATTATAAATCAACTCATACATTCTCTTTAACCCACCACATCATCTACTAAATCAAATTCTACAATTACACAACAAAAGCTCAACCTACAACTTGATTTTGATCAATACAGAGAATTACAGTAGTGGAATTTGTCAACGTCTTTTGAGGATCGAATTTGCCCAAACTTTACGACGCGACCTTCCAGTTCTCAAACTCTGAGCCGCCAAAAACCAACTGCTTGATCCCTACATAGCTGTTGCGTGAACGGGCTTGGTTGTTACAAGTGAAGATTGACAATAAATTAACCAGTGAACAGCACCGAAGGCAGGGAATGGCCAAAAAATATGGTCATGAAGTAATTTAGTTGACACTTACTCAGAGCTTATGCAGGTCAAGGCATTTACTAATACGTCTAGAAGCAACGGTTCACTAGTTCCAATATCCACCCTGGATAGAGGATGTCAATATTTGTTAAAAAACCAAATTTGATTCTAAGAAAATTATTGGCAAATAGGCCTAATGAAGAGCAAGCCAACTTGAGGGAAATGCATACCAAACGCGCGCTAAGTTGTCTTGAATCTCAAGGTCACCGATATTATAAAACGTAGTTGGTGTGACATTTGCTCCTTGAATAGCATCATATTTTGGTCTTTTGGAGTCCAAAGGTAACTGTGACAGCTGCAAAGATCAAATTTTACAAATTTAACCCAGTTAATAAAGAATCTTGATAATGATCAATGATAAATATGATACAGAAACTAGGACTAAAAATTGAGATTTTTTACATGTGCAGCCAATTAAAAGTAGTACACAGGATATTTAGCATACACAATTTTTAGCATACTAGGATTTATGCACGTGCAATGCATGTGATTAAATATTATAATTAAGTACTTTTGACTTATTTCTTTACTAAAATTTGTTTCTCAGTTCCACTTTGATTGTTTTTCTCACTTATGTTTTCAAACTTTACTATTGTGATTATTATTTTTAATGTTTGTTTGAATGGGCTACACCAAATTTAAAATTTTCATGTAATAATTGAATTGACAAAAAATAACTATATTCTAAAACTTATTTGAATTTTTGCGTTATTTAGATCAGCATGAAACCAAGCTTGACTTAAGAAGGTATAATGTTGTAAAAGTGAAAAACACTTGAAAAGATAATGTTATAAAAGAAGGATGAATAATTAAAACCAATAAGACAAGATGGTTAATTAAAAATGGGCTAGAATGAAACTAAAGAGAATATAAATTATGTTGCTAATCACTGATAGACTTTAGAAAAAAAATCATAAAATAAAGATTAATGCTAACTCTATTATACTTTTATATGATAAAAGCATCCATATAACCATATAAAAAATTAAAAGAGCTCATGAAAATACTTCAAAAGATTACTGATTTTACTCAAAAATTTAAGCTATTTTTAAAAATATTAAATAATTTAAATTTGTGTGGTATCTATAAAGAGCCTTGATGGAGATGTTTTTGTTTTAGCAGCTTGTTCTGAATGAGCCCTGCATATTAGCTTTAAAGTGTAATATTTTTTCTTTATCGTGTTATATGGATATCTGCTTGGTTTACTTATCTATCTCTTATTTCTTCAATAAGTTGATATATTATTAACATGATTTACGATGATATACATATCTTTCATACAAATTTGAGACAGGTATAAGATGGATTTTATATTTTAGTGGTCTTTAATAAGAATTTTAGTTGTAAAATATATTACCTTCATATTTACAGATCTTGAAATCTGACAGTACTATTACATGCTTATCTTTGATCATGTTTATAAAAATTAGTATTTCGTTGATAGTCGTATCTCCAAATAAGGATACTTGCAGAGTCGTGCCACTATATAGAGAAAAAAATATCAATTTTAATTTTTTTACTTACACTATGGTAACTAAGTATCATGTGCATATTTTTTGTCCATTATAGTGAATTTTCTCATCTTATCTAGTTTATTATATTTTACAATGCAGTTGATCAATGGCTTCACTTTAGTTTCTATTGCAAGATTATTTATATAAAATAATTTTATATTAAGTTTATGATTCCTTCACTTTAGTTTCTATTGCTATATTTTGTAACTTAGAGTATATAACTGCATCAAGAGCGAAACATATAGGGTATATAAATGTAATTTAGCCTTTAAACTTTTGAGGTTGTTTCTATAATTTTTAAAATGTTGAGGGTGTTAATTGCAAGTTTTAGATTTTTAGGTATCATGTTTATTTTTAAGTTTTAAAAAGTCAATGTGTTTTGAGTAATTTTAAACTTTTAAGGCTATCATATGCAAATTTTGAATTTTTTAGGTTTTTTTATAATACTTCATGTATTATAATATGTTATCTATGTATAATTTCTTGATCTTATTTTTTCTATATTTTTAAGCTATAGGTAGTTCATATGGAGTTAATATAGGATATAATTAGTATTTTGATAGATTAAGATTTAAGTGAAATATCCAAAATAACATTTTTAAACTGTTGACCTATAGATAGTTCACGTGGAATTAGATAAGATATGATTAAAATTAGAATAGATTAGGATAACAATGTAATATTCAAAGAAAAACTAAGGTTAATACTGACCATAGAAAGATTTTCTCGAACTCGTGCTTTTAAAGAGAGTATGATATATATATATATATATATATATATATATATTGGGCTGGGACTTTTGGACATACATTGGACTGGACTGTTGATTAGGTTTAGGCACAAGTTTATATGTGTGCCAGGTGCTGGAAGTTTTAGGTAACAACTAGGTTTTATACACGTGCAATGCACGTGGTTAAATATCATGATTAAGTATTTTTGGCTTATTTTCTAACTAAAATTTGTTCCTCTGTTCCACTTCAATAGTTTATGCTCACTTTTGTCTCTAAACTTTAATATTGCGATTAGTTGTTTTCTTTGATGTTTGCTTAAATGGGCTACACCCAATTTAAATTTTCATGCTAATATTTGAATTGATAGAAAACAAATATAATTTGAAGCTAATTTGAATTTTCATATTATTTTGACTGACATGAAACCAAGCTTTACTTGAGGAAGTGCACTGTTGCAAAAGTGAAAATAGTGAAACAATGTTATACAATGAAGGTGAATATTTAAAACCAATAAGGCAAAATAACTGCTTAAAAGTATGCTAAAACGATACAAAAGAGAAAATAAAGTTTGTTCCTAATCATTGTATATATATATATATATATATATATATATATATATATATAGGGAAAAGTGATTCTAAGGTGACACCTTAGATTCCCACCTAAGGGCACGGTCTAAAATCACATCATTCCGTAATTTTTTTATGATCCGCTCCGTTGAACTTTATCTACACATTCTTAAACCCAAACACACCAATTTTGGGATGAACCTGTCGTGTTTTGACCATTCATCCACTCACCGTAATTTTAACGGTTTCAAATAAATAGAACTCTTTGCACGGCTCAACGAATGGTCAAAACACGATGGGTTCACCCCAAAATTAATATGTTTGGGTTTAAAAACGTGTAGATCAAGTTCAACGGAGCGGATCGCAAAAAAAAAGAATGATGTGATTTTAGGCCGCGTCCTTAGGTGATAATCTAAGGTGTCACCTTAGGAAAACATTACCATATATATATATATATATAATACAATTTTTTATGTAATTTTTATATGTATTTACAATTTGTTTATGTATAATATATTTATATGTGTGTGTGTGTTTATATATATACATATTCATATATTGAATTATTTGAATACTATGAGCTACTTAGTCTAGTGGTAAAATTTAGGAGTTTAGAGAGGAGGTTAGTTGTTCAAATCCAAGCCACAACATATATATTTATATGTCTTTGATTTGATATGGCCTTGGGGCTCCTTGAAGTGTACAATAATTTTATATCATTTTAATTTGTATAACTTTTTATATTTATAAATTACATAATTACAATTGATTAATAATATAATTTTTTTATCAAAATTGTGTTTCTTTTTTGTTTTGTATTCTTGAAAAAATAAAAAAAGTAAAAATTTTAAAAAACAAATAAAACCCGGCCCGGCCTAAGCCCGTCCCGCTCAGGCTTGGGCCCGGCCCAGGGCAACCCTGTTGCCGGGCTTCTGTTTTGCCCAGCGTCCGGGTCAGGGACAGGCCTATTTTTTACTATCTTGCCATTGATTTGAATTTTTATTTTTCAGACGAACTATCTTCGTTTTATTTTATCCTCCTGAGAACTAATAGGCCTGAGTTTGCACCCGAATTAATTAACATAAAGATTTTGAAATGTTTGTGAACCAAAATATATAGTAGAATAATATATTGGCGCTTTACAAATAACGTTTTATCTTATAATTAATACGCGAGACCGTGGGCTTAGCTTTTGTGAAAGATAGGAAGATGACAATAGAAGACAGTACAAAATTATACAGTCGTGACTTGGTTTCAGAATGTATAGCTCTAAATGATGGGTTAAATATAAGCTAAGAAACAAAAATGCAAAGTTGTGACTGTCATTAACATAATGCCTTATGAGAATAGAATAATTGTATGTGCATGACTAGAGAATGTATATGGTCAAGACAATAAGTCTGAAAATGAATACAAATATATAAATTAAACAATTCATAGTAGAAAGCGAACATATATTAAAATCAGAACCGCATCATGATAACAAAGAATATTGCTACGTGTAGAAGATCCACTATTTTTCTCCCTTAAGGGAATTAAAGATTTAGTGGGGAACAATGGTTATTAAATATTACACTAGAACCCATCATAGATTTGATGAATGCATGAAAGTAGCAACTTTTTTTCTATGCCTTTCTATGCCTCTTAAATGAAACTCAAACCTTTAAATTCTTTTAATACCAATGGTTTATTTATAATCGTTTTTATGAGTGCACGACATTGTAATCCTTATGCATGGTAAAGGGTTCAACTATAATCACGGTATTAGACAAACTCTTACATAATCAAATTTTGGACATAAAATAAGTATCACTTCATGTTCAACACACTTGCTCTGTACTAGCTACCCCCCCCCCCCCCTCCCTCCTTCACCCTCATTAAACGACCGTTAGTACTATTGAAAGTACTCGTTACCACTAACTGAAATGCCCACTACTCCCCTAATGAAGGGTTGACGACCTTCTTCTTTTCAGCAAAGGACATCTATATTCAATTCAAAAATTATATCAGTGTCTCAATAACTTTGGAGCTACATCTAGACTAGAAGCAAATCTTTCTAAATGCTCTATTTTTTATGGAGATGTTGAAGACTCTGTTAAAAGTTCAATTCACAATCTACTGGGTATACCTGAGGGAGTCCTGCCAATTAAGTACCTTGGTGTCCCTCTAATATGTAAAAGGTTATCCTACATTGATTACAGTCCTCTTTTAATGAAAATCACAAACCAGATTAATCCTAGCTAAGACACAGGAACCTATCATATGCTGGTCGACTTCATGTCATTAAGAGTGTCATCTTAGGTGTTCAAATTTTTCGGTCATTTAACTATATCCTACCAGCTAAAGTCCTTCAGAAAATTGATGGCTTGTGCAGGGATTTTT